CTCTTGGGGGGTCTGCAAAAAAAATGGGGCTGCTCATTATGATGCCCTGATAAAATCAGAGACCCCCCCCAGGTTATGATTTTCAAATCTTACAGGGGGAGCTCTCATCTTTTATGGGGGGCTCAACCCGTCTGAGCTCCCCCGTAACTCGAACCCTGCTCTTTACACCTTCCATTGATTTAATTTGGTTTCAGGACACTGGCCCTGTCCACAAATACGTTTTGCTGCATGCTCTTACTCTGCCTTTTGGGGATCTGCTTATTCGAGGCACCGTGCTCTCTTAGGAGACAGCCAGCAACCCACAGGATTGCATCCTCCATTGGAAGGATACAAAGGGTTGTTTCTGAAGCTATTCTTGGAAGGAGTGAGCAAACTTGGAAGGGGTCCCGCACAGCCATGCAGACCTACACCCCAGGTATACATCCTTTTTGTGACTTATGCAAAACAGGAGTTGGGGAAATTGTTGGAAGCCACCGTAAGGCTCTCTGCACGGAAAATGAGCGTGGTCTCTCCAACAACCATGCCATGCATTTTGTTCCAGGAACGTTCTCCTCCCATATAAAAAGCACTTGCCCATTTCTGTAAGGTTTCCTAATCCGAGACAACCCCCCCTCTTCCTCTACATTCAGTCACAGAGGAATGAAACAATACTAATGATGTAGGGATTAGTCCGAGCCGTTCTTCTATTTTTGAAAAGCTGCAATTATCTTTTCCTTGGTGACGTTTTGTGAGATGAATAGCTGCAATGGGCATGTTCTGGTAATTATCATGGCCAATATGAACCTTGGGAGACAGGACAGGAAAGTTAGGAACATTTTAAGACTTTTGAAGAGTTCTGGCAGGTTTCAGAGCTGATCCAAAAATGTGACAAAGGAGGAAGGGACGTTTCCCCAAAGTTGTTGTTGGGAACTTCCACTTTGAAATTCGAACTCGTTTCCTCTAATGTAAGGGAGAATAATTACACCAGGTTTTGCCAAACTCAAGTCAGGGAAGATTTGGAATAGAGTTTTAATTTATCTGACTTTAAAGTTCGTGGACACAGTATCTCTTTTCTGGCTTCTCCCAATATTTTGCTTTCCTGCTAGAACTGATTGGGAATGAGATGATTCAAAACCATTCTGCCCCAAAGTTTGGAGCTGTTGATGTTTTTTTAGGCAAGGGTTGGTTTTGATGACACTCAAAATTCACGTGGTCGAAAGGTTAAAAGTTTAAATGCCCTCTTGAGACATTTTTGCAACTGGTTTTTCTTTTTTAAACTCCAGATAACTTTTTTGTTTTCAAACTTTATTACTGAAATAATTAAGAGCAAGTTGAAACGTTGAATTCAACTTTCAAGCTGACCCTACACTTGTTTGTTTTTTGATGATTGGTTTCCAGAAGCGTTCAGGTTAACATTTTGTCTTGATTTGGGATGGGGGAAATGACAAACTCTGAGCCTAGGGAAATCATTTCTGCCGCCGCTTTAGTTCTCACTGCACTGATAAATTGTGACGTATTATAGCTACATGGACAGGAGTAAAAATCAGCAATTAGGGGCGATATGAATGGGTTCCCCCCAGGCTGTATGAAAGCTTGAAATGTTCTCCTCCTGAATTTGCAGGTGAATTTGTGTAATTACAATTAAAAGAAGAAAGATTTAAGATAAGCTTAAGTCACTTGTTCTGTTGCCTTTGATCTTAACCAGTCTGGTTGACGTGACCTGGGCCGTGAATGAAAGGACCACAGTGGTCAATCAGGAGGCACATCTTGATGCCATCCCAATGATATCTCAGGATCTAAAGAGGACTAGATATTTAGCTCTGTCGATTCTTGCTAACATGCACCAGGTTAAATGCATTGCTGCCCGGAGGCTGGGGAGGTAATTCCTTCTGAGACACGTTGATGAGAAGCTTAAGGAAGTTTCCACCTTCTTCTGAAAGGTTGAGGGAAATTTATTGCCGGGATCTAGGAGGTTCATTCTCCACCCTCCAATTCCTGGGCTTGCAGAAGGAAAGGCTGTCACTGCTAGATTTGATCCTTGCAGTCGTCTTTTCTGCTGTATTTCTTTTTCCCCTACCTTCAAGAGAGAGTTTTTTTCCTGATCTATGAGAACATATCAGCCATTGCAATCGGATCATGCCAGAAGGGGATGTCCATGTAGGCCACGTCACTGAAGCTACTATTAGCTCTGTTTAACCCTACATTATCTGCCTGACACTGCTAATAATATTAGTTCAAACTCCATAGGAACGTCAGGGGGAATACAAAAAAAAAAAAGCCAAAGGCCAAATTTCTGTATCCACTCATTTACTTCTCATGTAACTCATCATATTTGTTCCGCACTAGTCATGAATTTGGCCGGAGATGTTTTAGATGATCTTCAGTTGCTCTGCTGTAATGAAACATCTCTGCTCCTAGCTACTGCTTATAATAGCAATATATATTGCTTATATAAGCTATTGCTTATAAGGGCAGCTGGAGGAAGGGAGAAAATAAACCAGGTAGAAAGTAGTTGCATGGGAAATGAATATTAGAGCTCATATTTGGTGTCTGCGTGGTATGCAAACACGATGACAGGGAAACTGGGATTTTCAAGAGATCCCACGGAAGATAATGGGTAAAAGGGTTTAAGGTGGCGCCAGTCTTTTATAGTTCCTTGGAAGAGCCCAGTCAAAATACATCTTTTAAGACCATCTGGAATAATGAAATCTGCCATCGGAGGCAACATCTGCCCACTGCTGCCAGCAGTACGGGCTGTTACAAAAGAGCTCCATCAAAAAAATTGACAAATTAGAAATACTGCACCCCAACTCCCAAAATCTCTTCCCATTGATAATTTGGTTTCATCAAATTGCATAGAGGACAAATGTTACTTCTCATTACTTTACAAGTAACCCAACCAACCAGAAAAAACCCAACCAGAACTCATGTCTCTCAACGGTCTTTAGCAGAAGCGTTAGCAGGTTCCTGCTGCAGAAGAAGGACTAGTAGCTTCCCCACATTTAGAGAAGTTGAACACTGGACATACCTCCTGGACTAGTATAATTACATTGGTACAAGTGTAGCAGCAAAGGCAAAACCAAGGCCATAAAGGCCTTGTAGCGTATCTGATGTCGCTGTTCCATGTACAGACGCATTTAAGTAACACGTACAGTATGATCACATATGGACCAGATGTTGAGCTGGCACGGCTGGATGCAACTCTCTTGAGCAGGTCAACTAAAAATCTGGTCCGTCCACATTTTGGACACACGCTTTAAGCACCAACTGGTGGCAGAAAAGGGGTCTGGAGCTCCGATTTTGATCTCTTGCAAAAGCCAGCGCAGATCTGAATTTCAGTCTTCTCCAGACTGAGGACCCGAGATGCGAGGATAATGGATTTTTTCAGTCAAGTGGCTGAATTGGACAACAACAAAAGAAACATGTTGTTTCTGGACTATTTAACCCTTTATAAAAAAAAAGTTCTTTTGGAAATGAAAACATCTGGGGGGCGAGAAAAGAAAACCGCAAAATGTTTTGTTTGGAAAATATTGGAATGACATGTTTTGACTCTTCCAAGCATGTTTTGAGGCTGAAGTGATTTGCAAAGTCCAATCCACATTTGCAAATAGTTGTGGTGATCCCCCCCATTGCATTTCTTTGGTGAATATACTATTTGCCAATAAACGTGGGCTCGGGCTTTCTCAGGAGTATGTGGACCAGGCCTTTGATTCAGGCCATTGCCAGCATAGCTGCATTGATTGCATTTGGTCTCTAGGCTAGCCAGTTTTAGAGATCAGTGAGAAGCGCCCAGCACTTGCATCTGAGGGTAACATTTGGCACAGAGACAATTTTCCTAAGCACAGCTTGATTTAATCACTGCTTGGTCAAAGCCCCCAAGAATGCAAATGGTGTATGAACTCAGCAGGAGCTCATATGGGCTTTTTATTGTTCTCTGTTGTCTAAGTTGGAGCCAAACGCTTTCAAAACAACGCCGTTTATAAAGAGCAGAGTTTACACAGCAGCCAAGAACAAAGATGCAACGATCCGGATTGAAAAAATGAAGAATAGTCTTGCAAATCTGGCAAAAGCTCTCCTTCCACATATGCTCAATCTAGAGCCAAGGGTATTTGTGGCAGAGCCCTTGTCCTCTGTCTTTGAAGAAGTGCTTTAAAAATAACAAACCAAAAAAAAAAATAGTTCCTACCCCACAGGAAGTGCTTGAACAGGAAATGGGTCTTTACATCATTTCCTGGCATTTAATTTTTTTAGCAGAGAACTGGAAAAGACAAGTTGAGGAGTTCAAAATCTTTCCTCTTTTTTTTTTGCTAGCATCACGTAGAAGTTTGACCCAATAGGAGCAGCCAGCTCAGAGCTTAGGGGGCTTCCCCCCAACTTTATGGATTGTGATTTCAATTCTAGCTACTCACAACTAGAAATCTGAAAGAAAAGGGGGTAAAAACAAAGGACTTCACAATTCTGCAACACTGACAGTAACACACAAGTGAAGGACGTTTTTTCCACCCCCCCCCCCCCAACATTATAAACTATATACAGTCTGAAGCAGGGCTAGCTTTTCCCAAAGAACAACTCAAACCAAAGCAAAAAAAAAAAAAAAAAAAAAAAAAAAAATATATATATATATATATACATATCACAGTCAGCATGTGATCACAGTATCAAGAAAAAGAAGGACCTTTCTGGGCGTGATACCTCCTTAGTGTCCTGAGGACAGTGTTATCTTTCCCTCAGGACGCCTGCCC